AATATGATAAGTATCACTTATTATATAAATGGAACCAATCAGTCGACGGGGAGTTACGAGCACATGGCTCTTTCCCATAAGCACAACTGGGTAAAAACAGACACATTTACCTTTGTCTATGTCATAATAATAATAATGATAATTATCATCATCATCATCATCATCATCACAATCATTACAGCACTCGATAATCGTCATCATTTGCTCGGAGTCATATGCGTAAGAAAAGACGTGAAAATGTCCTAATTCCATCCTAAGAAAATTACCAAAACCAGTCGCATGTTTTCCCAGTATGCCCTGATCCTTTCACAATTGCTTGGTATCCCACAATGGAATTTGTAGATGTAAGCTGCATACTTTTTTTTTTATTACGTGTCACTATTAGTCCCCATCTGGGAGTGAACGAAGATAGATTGAAGCTGGGGAATTAAGGCTAGATGCCCTTCCTATTGACCTACAAAGGGCTCGAACGTGTGTCCATCACCTCCAGAGTCAAACACTCTACAGGTTACTCTACAACTGTCCACTGAACTACTGCGGTTAATCTGCAAATATCATTTTATCACTTTTAAGCGCCTTGTTTCTCCTCAGAAGAATTCAAATGTCATGGAATAGATAAAAACTTATTTAGTAGGGAGGGAGCAGTGCTAGAGTCAGACAATCAGTGTTCTGACTGGAGAAAGGTTAGTAGCGGGGCTCCACAGGATTCAGTTTTAGGATCATTTTTCTTCCTTGTATATCTAAATGACCTACAGGAGTCAGCAAATGCATATTTGATAAACTTGCAGATGATGCAATGATTGTGAAGAAAGTAAAAGACGATAACAATGATAGATAATTTCATAAAGACCTACATAATCTGCTAGTGAAATTCAATATTTCGAAATGTAAGGTAATAAATATGGATAGAAGTGCGAGCAGGCCAAAGTTTGGCCACTCAATAGCAGATGCAAAGAAAAATCTAAGGATAAACATATTGGCATATTTCCCTACGGAAATCCATATAAATGGTATATTAAGAGTTGCATATGCTCTCTTTGCAAAGGCAAGGATAGCATTCAGACACATGGACAAGGAAATGTTCAAAAATATTAATGTAGTTTATGTGAGGCCAAAGCTTGAATATACAACAACCTTTTGGAATCCGCATTTGAAAAAGGTAGTTGGAAAGAGGTCAAACATGCTATGAAACTGGTGCCAGAAATACTGTTGCATTATGTAAGTATTTATGATACAAAAGTGCTCATTTTATGTTTTAACTTTTAGTAGAGAAGTGTCCAATTACTTTTAGACTATCCTGCCACCACTGTCGTTTAGTCTGACTATTTAATACTTCATTACCAGGAACGTGCGTGGTTAGAACGGACAAGCGATGGTTCACTTTAAACTAAATTTAGTCAAGAGTACAACGTATCTGACGCCTCAATGCCCCCTTCCCTTAATGTCTATCAAAACTGAGATCTTATTCGTGCCCCGGGGAAAGTTTTTACTAAGCTCTCTGTGTTTGACTGCCTCGGGTGTTCTTGTAGGACCCAAAGGGCAGGGCGTGTCGGCTTGGACAGATCAGCCAATAGGCTTCCAGAACCAAAGGGAGTTCTTCCTCTTTTGGGAGGGGCTACTCCACAGTATAATCATCTCGTGACTACTTTTAATTAAAAACAATGGTGAATGTCTTTTGGAATTTTGATCTCAAGTGTATGTTGGCTAAATTTGCCTCTCATAACATTAATAAGCCTAGGCGATATATATATATATATATATATATATATATATATATATATATATATATATATATATATATATATATATATATATATATATATATACCTTGGCTGTTTCCCCCTTTAATTGAGGGGTAGCCGACTTAAAAAAAAAAAAACAATAAGGGGATTACTTTGCTCTATGGGCAATGGCGAGGGAGCTAGCGGCCGTACAGATGGCACTGCTGGAGTGCCACAGCCCATCTTCCCGGTTCTTCCACAACCTGTGTCGCTTCACAACTGCCAACTCCCCTACTGCCCCTACCACAGGGCTACCTCTGTAAGATGCAGCCCCGTGGAAACAGCAGATGCCCATCAGAACTGCGTCACAATCGCTCGCCACTCATTCCTATTCCTAGCACGCTCGCTTGCTTCCCTCACATCCATCCTCCTATCATTCAGGGCTCTCCTTACTCCATCCATCCACCCAAACCTAGGCCTCCCTCTAGCATTTCTCCCATCAACTCTCGCATTCATCACCTTTTTCAGCAGTCTTTCATCATCCATCCTTTCCACATGGCCAAACTATCTCAGAACATTCATATCTACTCTGGCTGCAATTTATCTCCTCACACCCGTTCTTGCTCTCACCACTTCATTCCTAACCCTATCCAACCGAGATACACCAATCATACTCCTCAGGCATTTCATATCAAACACATTTAGTTTCCGTCTCTCACTTACTTCATACCCCATAACTCTGATCCATACATCACAGTTGGCACAACCACTTTCTCATACAAAACTTTCTTAACATTCATTTCCAACCCTCTACTCTTCATCACTCCTTTCAACGCACCCAACACTTTACATCCTTCATTCACTCTGTGACACACATCTGCTTCCACTCCACCATTTTCAGCTATAACAGAGCCTAAATACTTAAACTGATCAACTTCCTCAAGTGTCTCTCCATTCAACATAACATTCAATCCAGCACTATCCTCATTTCTTCTACACCTCATAACCTTACTCTTTCCCACATTCACTCCCAACTTCCTTCTCTCACATACCATTCCAAATTCTGACACTAACTGACTCAGCTTTTCCTCTGAATCTGCCACCACCACATTATCATCTGCAAACAGCAACTGATTCAGCTCCCACTCGTTATCATCCCCATCTACCATTCTCAAACCTCGACCATGCACTCGCTCATTCACCTCTCTCACGACTCCATCAATATACAAATTGAACAGTCATGGTGACATCACACATCCCTGTCTCACTCTCGCACTCACTGGAAACCACTCACTCACTTCATTTCCTACCCTATCAGAAGCTCTACTGCCCTCATATAAACTCTTCACTGCATGCAACAATTTACCATTAATTCTATATAATCTCAAAACATTCCACTTGCCTCTCTATCAACTCTATCATACGCTTTCTCCAGATCCAAAAATGTAAAATACACATCCTTACCCTTTGCTATTTATTTCTCACATAACTGCCTAACTATAAAAAAGAAATATATATATATATATATATATATATATATATATATATATATATATATATATATATATATATATGAGTAAAAACGTAAATGCTGCATATTGAGTAAGTGCTGGAAGGTAGCACAAAATGTAGCATTGTTGCTCTTATGATGGGAGAGAAATATGTTCTGGCAGTGGCTTGCATGGCTGTTCTGTTATGAAATTTCGTCACAGATTTCTAGAACACATGTCCATATCTATAGAAGTCTAACAAAAACGAATTTCCTCGGAGACTATTTACGCTATGACTAAACTTTGAAGACACCATGATTCAGGTATCACTTTTAAGTAGACTTTCATACAATAAGCTATAAGGGCTTTTTCTCCAGAGATGATTCATTGAAAACTACTTAGGCTGTCTTGATATTCTCGTAATGCAAACTTTTAAAACTAAGCTTTCATTCTACAGTTTCTTAAGAAAACCTATCTCATTTCCACTCTCAGTATGCTTTTCAGCCTGTCATTTGGGGTCACTGTTACCCGTCCGGTAATCGATCCTTGAGTTTTAATAATTGGAGAGATTCATCTAGCAACTCGTTCCCTAAACACACTTTCGTCAAAAAGTCTTGTGTCCTTTCAAGTGCATTGTTTTCAATGCCATGTGCTAGAAAGCATCAGTGAGAAAACTGAGATTTCAATAGCCTACATTTATTGAGACAGCGAAGAATATTTGAAGAGAGTTCACATCACTGGAAGAAACTCTTCCTATGCAATATTCTTCTCTAAATGAAACATCTGATGCATGGTGGCTCCAAGTCTTATTTATACTACAATTTAACTTCAAAGTCATGCTTTTATCATAATGACAATGCATTGCCCATTATAGAATTAATGATACAGTTTATTAGAACCAATAGGAAGTATACTGAATTCTAGGATCATATGAGTGGTTCCGTGCACATCAATGAAGTACACACTGCAGCGGAGGAAATAAGTAACATGAAGGATGAAAGATCGCAATCCACATCAGAGACAAAAAACGTATCTCCGGAACTTATTTATGCTATCGAAGATATACCCCCGTGGTATGAATGCATTATGTACGGATTTCAGGTAAGAATTTAACACTTTATCCTTCTCAGGTTAGCAAGATGATCATATATATATATATATATATATATATATATATATATATATATATATATATATATATATATATATATATATATATATATATATATATATTATATATATAAACACACATACAAAATAAATAAAATCACATTGTACTCGATTGTCCTTACGCATTCTATCAGGATTTTTGCACATAAATGAGACAAAAAGTCAGCGAGGAATAGCATGAAGTATGGGTGACCAGGTCCCTATCCCCTATCCCTTCTAGTCACCTACTATGATATAAAAGCAAAGTAAAATATTTCTTTCTGTCCCTTTATATATATATATATATATATATATATATATATATAATATATATATATATATATATATATATATATGAATCATATTTACCCTGACCGGGACTTGAACCTAGGACACATGATTACTGTGGCAAGGCGCTTTCAGCTACATCACAGAAGGTCTAGTAGATAAATCAAGCTTACAGCTTAACTGCTATACTAGGAATGAACTCATTCTATCTGAATGCCTTTTTGTTCATATTGCAGTTTCTCCCAACCTCACTCGTGGCTTCGTTTTCGTATTTAATTCAAATTCCAATCTAATTAAGGACCAACAGTAATCAAATAAGCACGTCACCATATGTGAAAACATGACTCATTTTTACCCCAGCCGGGAATTGAACCCAGGACACATAATTACTGTGCCAAGGCGCTACCAATTGCACCACAAAAGGT